GTATATTAAGCGTAGTTCATATTTTATGGTATTACCGATTCTTATAAAATAACTATTAATTCTTGTAGACAGAAAGTAGGTAGGAAAAAAAATCATTTAAAATTAATGATTTATTTTAACTTATCAGAAAAACGATATTGGATTATTGGCCAATTTACGGACTTGTCAAACACATAAAGCTGCGTATTTGAGTATAGCAAAACGTGTCAACAGTGTCTCTACCTTCGTTAAAGTCGCCTATCCTGATTGGATAGGATTTAGCAACGACGATCAACCTTTGGAGTCCTTGTACAATAGCGATGTACACGTTTCCCGGTAAAGATAATTTTATTTGTTCGTTAAAAATAAWATGTATTATACGACAGTATACTCTATACCAACGCTAATTTTTATCTATCAAAAATTAACACACATTTCTGCTATCATTTTCTACTTCTATTTTTTTTAACTACAGCTCTTCAATTATTGTTTTACTGTGAGCTATGATCCTAACGAGAAAATCGAAGTGATTAATTTTTATCAGATTTCTAGTGTTAAAATCATTAAACATGATATCCGATCTTGCATTTTAAATTATGTGTGAAAATTATATTTTTTACTATTATTTATTTGATTTTTTGAAGGTAACTATTTCATATTTTATTATATTATAATAYTCTTATTTAAGTAGAAATATTTATCATTAAGTAGGTTTTTCAAATAATCTCCATTGGCTAATCATTYACCATCAGTATTTTATTTCATATATTTTACTCATCGATATTTGTAAATWAAATAAACGTGTTTAAAATTTTATACAAGTACCTACCTATAATATTATAATTAAAAATAATAAATAAAAATACATTTTTTTGCATAGTGACAATTCAATGTTTCTATTTACATTAAATRCGTATGCATTATTTTACGAACTCAAAGTTATTACTTGCCTATTTGAGTAATATGTATTTTTATAAAATATAATTATTCAGTAACTCTTCAATAGCGATATAATTTTCAAGGGCATATCGTTCAATTTTTCAATATGTGAAAATAATCTGTATTTTTATACAAAACTCTAATATATRATATCTCAAATAGTAGTTATTATACCCACCTATAGGSTATAACATATACTTAAATATTTTTTTTAATTATTAATTTGTTTTATAAATTGTAATTTTATTAGCAGCAAATTGTTATCGTGCTTAGAACGTAGCGTATCCAAACGACGAGACTCTGCCGATATGATCGTGTACGATTTAGATTATTTATTGGAAAGTGTTAACGACGTTTGCAGCTCATCACAACAGTAATTAACAAACCAATAACCGTTCATCTCAGAATGTTKTATAACTGAAAACAATGTTTATTAGGTTATCAAATTACGATGAGCGAAATTTAGGCGTAAAATCAGACTTCGATAACTTGCATTTCGAGTCCCGTTTCGAATGTGGTAATCTTCGGAAAGCTATTAAGGTGAGCAATATTATCCAATTGAGAAAATTCCGAGACTTGGTGTTAATTTAATACTTAATGTTTTGTTTAGATTGGTTCCAACGAGTATGATTTGATTTTGAATACTGACGTAAACTCAATGTCTCATAGTCAATGGTTTTACTTTCAAGTACGATTATAAATTTTAATATATTTTAATATTTCCAATTTATATGCAAGATAAACATTATCATTATTTTGTTGATTTTGTAATAATATTATTTATCATTTGTTAAAGTTATACTTATCATACAAAGGTACGCTATTTCATTCCCAATATTATTGTTGATTCCAAACAAACTTTCCGTTTTACTTTGCAAGTCTGAAATATTTAAGAAAATTTACGATWGGTTTAATTTTTTTTTWAACTTAAACTGCAGTAAATCAATTATTACTACACTTTTAAATTTGATTGAACTTGTATTAATTTAAAATGCATACCTTGCACGTCATTCATACTACCTATGATTCATTTCTATCATTCTATATATTTTTCTTTCATAAAATAATCGTTAATACGACATTTTTCGTTTTAACCATACCATAATTTAAATAAAATGATTAATTTTAGTGATACCTATAAAATATCATTTTGGTAAAAAAAAGCTCTTAAAGTAAAACTACCAGCTGTACCCATTTCATTTAAAATTTTTTTTTATGGACTCAAGTATTTACTTTTTTAATGAATTAAAAATAGTATTTAATTTACTTAGTATAACCTTAAAAATTAAAAAAATAAATTGTATGTATTATTTTTATTTTTATTTTTAATAGAATACAATAATAATATTATTTTCATTATAATCCCGATTTATTCCCATCAAGTCAGATCGCAGTTTGGACCACATGGAGCTATTGCAGTMTATTCATGCACACAATTAAAACGAAGTATACCTACTTAAAATTCATTTTTTATTGAAATACCTACTTGATATTAAAATTTTATTTTATTTTATGATTTCGAACTAATCGACGGATTGTTGTATGGAATATTTTAACGTACATAAAATCAGCTTACATTTTAATCGTATCAGTGTTTATGTTTACCTAAGCCTACAGACAGCAATTAATTCGACTGGCCAATAGTTAATCATGTAATATTTTCYTTCGTACAGATATCGAACATGGAGGCRACCAAACCATACGTATTTAATATTGTGAACATGGAAAAACACAACTCTCAGTACAAAACTGGTATGCAGCCGATCATGTTTTCGGTGAAGAATTATACTGAGTTCAARAAAGGCTGGACACGAACCGGGATGGAYATTTGTTACTACCGGAATTGTTACAAGAACTGCAATAAGACTCACGGCTCTTACATGACAGCTACCTTTTCGATTCAATTTCCACATGACCAAGACATATGTTATATAGCATACGTTTATCCGTATACATATTCAAATTTGTTGGTAAATACGTTAAATTAACCATATAAAGTGTAACTACCAACCAACTTTAACCATGTACATAGTACATTCAATCTTTTTGTACATTTTATAAACATAAACTATATACAGTGAAACTTCATATATAACGAAGTCGTATGGGGAACAAAAAAGATCGTAATATTGAGGAAWTCAGTAAATAGAATTTACGAATGAATAACAATGAAGATCGTGGTTCACAAAAATAATTCGTTTAACAGAAAATTCTGTTAAAAGTAAATTTGTTATATGGAAGTTTCACGTGCTAATATCCATATTTATAAGTAGGATAAATATCCGATACYATTCCTTAAAACTGTATATTATAATATCTCTCTAGTAAATTTTAATTTTAAACATGTTTTTTCAGTACAAATGCTTCAAATGGAAAAATTCAGTCGATCCGGCCACTACATTATTTCGTGCAAACAGTTTGTGCCAATCATTGAATAATAACGAAGTGCCAATTATTACGATTACCTCTGTTGAAACCAACGAAAAAAAAATTAAAGTAATTTTATTATATTGCTCACCTAAAACCAGAATTTATTAATATTAAACTCGATTTAATGTAAGAACTTCATAATATAATAAATATAAGTATTTTATAAGTTATAATATAAGTTATTTTAAAATGACATGTTTATTTATTTTTTTAAGGGCATATTTTGATATTTATTGTGTATATTTGCATGCATTTTTTAGTGTTTTTAAGGTCATTAACATCTTAACCCTATATATAACTATTCATTATAATAGGCCACTAAAAATGGAATAGTATTCAATTTTTTAATTGTTAATTTATTTTCAAAGTAAAAGAGGCATCTTATTTACTTTATGATAATATCATATTTTTTTTATTTATTGAACTATTAACGTATGGAAATTAAAATACAATACTGTTATATATCGGTTTTARGTATTTTAGTCGTTTAAAAACTTTTTTTGTACTGCTATGTGTTTAACGCAATAAAATTACTAAAATATTTAGAGTCATTGCCGTTTGCATTTCATAATTTGTGGACATTACAGGTATAATGCTTTATTCAATACAGACATATATATAATACTCATATGAAATTCTCAATGAATACATGTATATAGRCATTACAACCACATTTTAAAATAAGGCAATCATGTTTTCACTTAAGACATTGTAAAATGCCACAAGTCTGAATTTTCRGGTTTTAGTAGATATTTCTATAAGTATATAAAAAAAATTTTTTGATGGTAATATATGTTATAAAGCAAACACCAAGATTGTATTATTGTAATTCAATATTTGGCTTTTCAAATACGCAAGTTAAAAACTTTTTTGTAGTATCTTTGTCTTAAACATTTTTACTRTTTTTTGATTTCCTTCAAAATTATATATTTAGAGTTGTAGTATTGTACTATTATAATAGGTGTATGACATATGTTATTCGTCMCGATACATTATTAAAAACATTTATTGTTATGTCTGGAAGATTACTCGAAAATTCCATTATTATAAAAAAATAAGGTTACTTAAATTTAGTAAAACTAATAAATAACTAATTTTAGGTTGAAAGTTAAAAAATATGCATAAAAAATAAATAGGTATTCTAGTTCAAAAATAWAATCAAAATATTAATTGCTTAAGTACTGTATAATATTTTGAGCTATAGCTAAATACTTAAAGCACCTATAATGAAAAGGCACAGTGGAAAATATAAATAATTCAAATTTAGTTCACTAATATGGCTTGAATATTATTTATCTGTATAAGAAGTAATAATACACACAATATTTGTGTAGTGTTATTAAAATTTGTTTGATATATTCATAAGTCTCGTTGATTCATCAATGCCCATATATTATAATATCCTATGACCGTATTATATCATCGTGTAATGTTATCTTGTATTTTTCAGGATCGACATATTGTATACTTAACATCTCGTGTGCATCCCGGCGAGACAAGTTCGTCTTGGGTAATTGACGGCGTGATTGACTTCCTTTGTGGAAACACACTCACCGCCAAAAAGGCACGGGACACCTACGTGTTTAAGATTGTGCCCATGCTCAACATAGAAGGCGTCATAAACGGATGGTAAGTATACAAAAATACAATTATTTTTATTTTTAATCACTTGATTTATTCAAAATGATTACCATTAAATATTAAAGTACATTTATAGTAAGTCTAAAAGAGAATCTATAAAACTTAATATATACAAAATAAAATAATAATCGATAGACGCAAAAKAATATAATAAGTAAAAAMAATAAGAAAAAAAAWGATCTGTCTTTTTACTTATTATTTTCTTTTATATTATACCGATGTGATTTGTTCATTATTTTCATTACTTTTCTAAATAAAATTATAAAAATGTATAGGTAGGTAATCACATGAAATTAAATTTACCACCATTACTCTACAGAATTAAGCGCTGAGAACAGATTTTAATAATTATACATGACTAAATTAAATTACATAATATCGTATAGTGCAATTTACCTCAGATAATAATGAAGTGTAGGAGGAAACGCGGAAGAGAGCAACGTTTGTACGAAGTTTATTTTTGTGGTTGATTTTTAATTTCAATATGTCGTACGTAATTATTGTTTAAAAAAAAATATATATATTTTCTTCAAATTAACAAGACATTTTAAACGTAAGACACGTCGATTGTTGTGGAACTAAGCGACTTCTTGCGATGACTTTTTCAACACGGGTTTTTGTAACATTATGTCTTTGGCCCACGACCACGGTAACTGTAGATCCCCGGCAGTTGTCGCGGCGTCCTTAGGCTGTTCCAAGTCCTTGGTAGATCGGATCTTGTGCGGCACTGCAGTTGCAAAAGCCTTTTCCAGCGATTCGAAAGCGTACGCGTCGTTGTGCTGCTGCTGTTGATCTCGACGAACTGTTTCTTGTTTGCCGCGCTGTTGYACCTCATCTCGTTGACGAGACCTGTGCAGTTGTTGGTCGTGCTCCTGTTGTTGGTTGTGCATCTGGATGAGCGTCGGAAGTTCGGTGGTATAATACTGACTGTCCGCTCGTTCGTCGGTTGACGGCCGTTCGTCCGCTCGCGGTTCGCTGGTCGACTGTTGTTCGTCTGTCTGCGATTCTTGATATCCACTTTGCAGCGGTTCAGCCGTGCTTGTGGACGGTGAATCGTCGGCCATCAAACCGGGTGTCGTGGCRACCGTCAGTTCTGGTTCCGTTTCCGCCGCCCTAGGAGCGTCGTTATCGCTGCCGTCGTCATCCCCCGACTTCCGGTGGATGTCGGCGACAGCGTAACCCTCTGCAGCCGCAACAGCGGGGGTCGTGAGCATACCAGTGGGCGAAGCTGGTGTAGTAGTGGTAGTAGTAGTGATGGTGGAAGTGGTTGATGCGATAGTAGTAGTTGTGGTGGGATTGATGGTAGTAGTGGTGGTAGTAGTAGTTGTTGGAGTGTTTTTCTCCAAAGATATGTTTGAGTGAATAGGGATTGCCGTAGCTTTTTGTTTATAACCGAAACTGAAAAATAAAAATATACAATATTTTAACGGGCATTTGTTAGCACTTGAACTATGTGAATATACCGTAAATGCACGGTTTTATGTCGACAATTTTAGTGACGTTAAATCCTAACTTGAAAGCGGGRCTCAAAAACGAATATTGAATGTCAGTGGCGACGATTTTTATTATAATTTAAAACCATATATGGCCTGAATCTGAGATGAATTAAAATATTAAATTCCGACTTCTTGATTAAATATTAAAAGCTCTAAAAATTTA